TTGACGAGAACTCGTAGTCAGCAAACAACCCCATCAAGACATAGTGAAAAAAACATCTCAAGCCAAACCCGATGCAGGACTCATGCATAAGCCATACATCCCGATAAGTCTTCAACCAAGACCCATCACATACTCGTCTCCAAGTATAACAACTCATAATGCTCCACCTGCATCACAAGCCCCGGGCAAGCTCCACCTTAAGGCCAACACACCTACACCAGGAGCTCCCCAACTTCGCCCCTCAGGGCCTACTACATCACGTAGTAATCAATATTTAACAAGTCTAAGCAATGTTTAAACTTGCTAAACGGAACAGGCTTAGTGAAGAAATCAGCCGGGTTGTCAGCAGTCCCAATCTTCTTCACCTTAATCCTCTTGTCAGTACGCAAGAAATGATACCTGACATCAATGTGCTTCGTCCGATCATGGTGTACTTGATCTTTAGCTAAGCAAATCGCACTTAGACTATCACAATATACTGTAGCAAAATCCTGTGCAATACCCAGTTCACCTACTAGGCCTTTGAGCCAAATAGACTCCTTAGCTGCAGAAGTTAAAGCCATATACTCAGCTTCAGTAGTTGACAACGTAACTGATGACTGCAATGTAGACTTCCAACTAACCACAGAACCACCCAAAGTGAACACATAACCAGTCACAGACCTCCTGGTATCCACATCAGCTGCATAATCAGAATCACTGTACCCAGTGACCAAGCATTCCCTACCATTCCCGTACACAAGACCAATATCAGTTGTCCCTCTCAGGTAGCGAAAAATCCTTTTCACCCCTTGCCAGTGTTCCCTCCCAGGTCGAGCCATAAACCTGCTTACAACACTAACAGCATGCGCAATATCCGGCCTAGTACAGACCATAGCATACATCAAACAACCAACCGCGTTTGCATATGGAACTCTAGACATATAAGACAACTCCTCCTCTGATTGAGGTGACATAGACAAAGACAACTTACAACTAACAGTAGTTGGCGTACTTATAGGCTTCGATTTTTCCATCCCAAAACGAGACAAAATCTTTTCAATGTAGCTTTTCTGAGTCAAGAAAAGCTTACCTCTAGCCCGATCCCTGTAGATCTCCATACCCAAAATCTTCCTAGCTGCACCCAAGTCTTTCATGTCAAACTCCGAGTTAAGCATCTCCTTTAATCTAGCAATATCAGATTTATTCTTTGTGGCAACCAACATGTCATCAACATATAACAAAAGATAAATCATGGAACCATTATCCAGCTTACTATGATACACACAGCAATCATATGAATTCCTGTCAAAACCTTGTGAAACCATAAAAGAATCAAACCTTTTGTACCACTGTCGGGGGGATTGCTTAAGTCCATACAATGACTTTAGCAATCTGCAGGCATAGTGTTCCTTTCCAGGAACTTCGAATCCTTCGGGCTGCTTCATCAGAATCTCCTCCTCCAAATCGCCATGAAGGAAAGCCGTTTTAACATCCAACTGCTCCAGCTCAAGATCAAAATGTGCTACAATTGACAATAACACACGGATAGAAGTATGTCGAACCACAGGTGAGAATATCTCAACAAAATCAACCCCTTCTACCTGACTGAACCCCTTAGCAACTAGCCTAGCCTTAAAACGTATTTGCTCAGTTTCCGACAACCCTTCTTTCTTCTTGTAAATCCATTTACAACCCACAAGCTTCCTCCCTTCCGGTACCTTTACCAGTTCCCACACTCTGTTCTTGTAAAGAGACTGCATCTCTTCACCCATTGCGGCAAGCCATTGCGCAGACTCACTACAACTAATTGCTTGTTTATATGTGGCAGGTTCAAATGACTCTACATCATCAGCTACACTCAATGCATAACCTGTCATCGCATCAACACAGCAATTTCTTCCCTCCATCTCTTCAATCAATCTAACAGGCTTCTTGATAACTCGTTTAGGCATCTCAAGAATGGTGTCAGGTTGACTAGATGACCCCTGATTAGATTGCTCCACCTCATCCCCAGAGTTAGAATGAGTAGGAGTAATCTCAGGTTCAGGAGTACCCGGCACTGGAACATCAGCATCATCATCAATATATTGTACCCGAGGTAAATCAGCAATGGTAGACTGATGTACCTCAAGTACCCCATCTGTCTGTAATAAATTGTCTCCTTCCCTTCTCAAATCTGAAATCTCTGCATTTTTAATTGAATACATGGTGTTTTCATCGAAAGTAACATCCCTACTAAGAATGACCCGACCCTCCGAAGGTGAAAAAATTCTAAACCCCTTCACACCATCCCCGTACCCAACAAAACACCCCTTCTTGGCTCGTGGATCCAGCTTACCCTCAATAACATGATAATAAGCAACACAACCAAAAATCTTCAAATTCGAAAAATTAGGCAACTTACCACTCCAGATCTCAAACGGAATTTTGGAATCAATTCCAGAATGAGGACCCCTATTAATGACATAACAAGCTGTTAACACAGCTTCACTCCAGTACCTCCTCCCAAGCCCTGCATTAGAGAGCATGCATCGAACTCTCTCTAGCAGTGTCTGATTAACCCGTTCTGCTACACCGTTCTGCTGTGGTGTCTTCCTGACAGTATGATGCCGACCTATACCCTCATCTGCACAGAACTGATTAAACTCGTCTTTGCAAAACTCTAGCCCATTGTCCGTTCGTAGCTTCTTGATCTTCCTTCCTTGTCGATTTTCCACCAAAGCTTTCCATTGCTTGAAAACTTTGAAGGCCTCATCCTTTGACTTAAGCAACCTAAGCCATGTGTATCGGGACTTGTCGTCAACAAATGACACAAAATAGTGGTAACCTCCCATACCTTCAACTCTAGATGGACCCCAGCAATCTGAATGGATGTAATCGAGCACTGCATCAGTAATGTGAGCACCCTTGCTGAACTTTGACCTGTGTTTCTTTCCAAACACACAATGCTCACAAAATTCAAGGTTGGCAACCTTGACCCCGGATAGAAGACCCCTCTTGGACAATAGCTGCATCCCCTTCTCCCCCATATGACCAAGCCTCATGTGCCAAATCTTAGTCATCTCCTGGTGAGATACAGATGCGCAAACCGCAGAACTAGGCAGTGTAACACCCTCAAAAACATAGAGGGTGTTCCTTTTGATACCCTTAAGTACCAACTCAGAACCTCTGAAAATACACAACTCCCCATCTGAAAACACACCATTGTACCCCAAGTCATCCAGGGTACCCAATGAAATCAGATTCTTTCCTAAAGCAGGAACATGCCGTACATTAGTCAAAGTTAACCTCCGCCCATCAACAGTCCTCAACCTCATGGAACCAATACCTGTGACCTTACATGGAGCATTGTTACCGACTATAACCATACCCCCATTGCGAGGTTCATATGTATCAAACCAATCTCGACGTGGACACATATGGAACGAACACCCCGAATCTAGAACCCAGTTATCAGATAAATCATCAGACCTAGCAGAACTGACTAATGCTAAATCTTCCTCTGAATTATAGCTCTCATTCGGTTTCTCTTCAACTACAGCAGCCTGGGACTTGTTTTTCCTCACCGGACAATTATTCCTAAAGTGACCCGGTTCTTTACAGTAATAACATGTTTTAGTAGTAGTTTTACTAGATCCATCCTTGCCGTTTCCAGCACCCGACCCAGCATTGTTCCCCTTGTTAAACCCCTTATTCTTTTTAGACTTTCCGGACTTAACAAACAACCCACTACCATTATCCCCATTATCACTCGTAGCTTTCATTCTGAGTTCCCTAGTATGAAGTGCTGCCTTCACTTCTTCTAAGGTTATAGAATCCTTACCAACAACAAAAGACTCTACAAAATTCTCAAAGCTAGACGGTAGAGATACAAGTAAAATCAACGCAGCATCCTCATCATCAATTTTAACATCTAAATTACGTAAATCAAGCAAAATAGAGTTAAGTTTTTCTAGATGTTCCCGTAAGGAAGTACCTGACTGCATCCGGAGGCTAAACAACCGCTGTTTCAGTAATAATTTGTTGGTCAACGACTTAGTCATATACAATGACTCCAGCTTCAGCCACAATCCAGCCGCCGTTTCCTGATCAGCCACCTCCGTGATGATTTGATCATCAAGACTAAGTAATATGGTAGAGTGTGCCTTCTCTTCCATAACTTCTAACTGCGAGTCAGTCGGTCCGTCTCCTGACTCCGAAGTAGTACTCTTTGGAGCCAACGGACGCCATATCTGCTGTTGTTTTAACAGAGCCTTCATCTTAATTTGCCATAGCCCGAAACTATTTTTCCCGGTAAACTTCTCAATTCTTATTGTTGAATCTCCTGCCATTGTTATCTTCAAGAAACTCTCCAAGGATTGAACCTGGCTCTGATACCAATTGTTGTGCGACAGCGGAAGCAAAGGTCGTAAACAAACAAGAAAACAATAAAGAAATTCAATGCAAACAATAAGAACAACACCAAGAATTTACGTGGTTCACTATCGATGTGATAGCTACGTCCACGGGCACCGAGATCGAATGATTTCACTATAAACTGCAAAGATTACAAAGATGATTCTTGTATTTCTCAAGAACGGCTTTCACTCTGTCTCTCTTAACCCTAATACTGATATTAGGGAGGTTTTATATTAATCCCTAATTAAAAGATACTTGGGCAAAAAGATAATAAAATAAGATAACCTAAAACCGCAAAATCCGCGTTCCGTATTTTTCCTTCTCCGCCCGGTCAGACCGGGCAAGGTCTGCCCGATCGGGCGCGAGAAGAAAACTCCATACGAATGCTTCAACGTATCCAACCCCCACCGCCCGGTCAGACCGGGCAAGGTCTGCCCGATCGGGCGAAGGCTCGCCCGGTCGGGCGAAGGCTCGCCCGGTCGGGCGCGAGAGCAGCTTCTTCAACGAATTTGCCAGGCACCTCTTCTTCTTCCGCCCGGTCAGACCGGGCAATGTCCGCCCGATCGGGCGGACAAAGCTACGAAGTACGAGTCACCTAATATACTTATCAACACCTTAGAATTAAAATTTTAGTTATGTTGAGAACAGTTTAGAAGCAGAGTAAAGAGAAAATCAGCTATAACAAACACAAACTTTGCCAGCTCACTAGTTTGTTACAACTAATACTAATTTGTTGAGGAAATTATGCTATTTACTTTCTTGTATAAATACTCAGCTGTTATCATTATTTCTTCTTAATCAAATCACACAAAAATTAACTTCTCTCAAACACTTTTCTCTCTCTACATTTCATCTCTGATTTGTGCAAAGCTTCAATGGTGAAATCACCTTGGTTCTGCCATTGATGATTGTTTGAGCTTCGAACTTCAGTTTTTAACATGGTATCAGAGCATGTATAGCTCGTTGCGTTTCTTCTGCGGAGTTGATTTCATTTTCTAGTTTGTTCTTCAGCTCTTCGTTCTTCTTCATTCGCTCGATTTTATTTTTTTTTATTTTTTTTTTCACTTAACAATAGCCAAATATAGCATGGCTTGCCCATTTATTATTTATAGTAAGGCAGCTAGTTGTAAACTTGTAATATACTCCGTCAATGTAATGCACCATGCATAAGCGTGAAAGCATGCGCAATGGCTTATCTTCATCATCAAGCGCTGCAACCATGAGCATCGATTTCTTTTGCAAGCTCGAGTGATAAAGCAACGTGCATTTTTGGTTCAGCAGCATCCTCGTTCATCTTCTCATATTCAATGCTCCACTTCATAATGCAGCCCTCGCCGTGGAATGACTTCCATCTTGGGCTTGAAGGACTTGTAGTAACTTTGCATGACATATCCGTCAAGGATATTTTAGCTCAACGACCTGTTCTTGAAATTCAGCTCTTCAACTCTTGTCTTGGCGGAAATTAATGAAGTTTCACCGTTATCATCTGCAGTGGCAAATCCAGATGGAAATTATTTGTAGCACTTATTATAAAGCTATATACGTAGTATATATATAAAATGTTTGGAGATGTTGATATATAATTATATATATTGGTATAGCACGTGCACTTCTTACTTTATTATGATTATGTTAGTTCGAATAATAAAATATATATAAACGAGTTATCAAGTAAAAGTCAAGTGAATAAAATACATACAACTAGTATAGGACCAATCAATTAAGTAAGTCAGTACGTGTATGATATAATACTTACCGATGAGATATGTCCAGCTAATGACAGCACCAACCTTATTCCACTCGCCCTCAACAAGCTCAACTTTGGCAATTTTGTTAGGGCTTATTTTGGAAATAAGGTGAGCTTTGCCAGCCCAAACATCAAAGAAATTGTCAGCATGACACTTGAGCTCAACTTGGCCTTCAACACTTCGAAGCTGAGCCATTTCTTCCCTTAGAACACTACTAAAATACTGTTAGTGATTGAACAAATTTCTAATATCTCAAGGTCGAGTTGATCGATCGATGGAAGGTAAGGAAGAGCAAAGGTGTCTTATATAATAGAAAAAAGCTAAGAGGTCGGTAAATATTCCGTCACTTTGAACCACTCCTTTTGATCAATTTGTAAATTCATTTTCCATCATTTCTTCGAAAGAGAAATTCTGCATTATCAAGAAGATGTATGCCTGCTCTTAGACCCTACATTGGCTATATACGTTGATGCACATATATAATATTTAAGCAGGACCAAAGACCAACTTGATCATATTGTAGGTGTTGGAATAAATACTTTGAATTATTTGATACGGAGTATATGTTATTTAAAAGTATAGAAATGAAAGACTTGGAGGCAAAAATCTACGTTATTGTATAAGGGAATAATTTTATTTTATAAAGAGCTGTGTTAAATCATACTCCCTCCGTCCCTCTTTTATTATCCTATTTGACTAATAAAGCTCTCACATAAAGTGGGTCCATGATGCAAAATCAAGGAGATTGATCCAGTACATCCAAGACTCCAAGTGTTTGGGATCAAGCTATAATATCATCAATACGACTCCCTGCATCAGATATTTGTTTGCCCTAGTAGAAAGGCATCAATAGAGTGTATGATGCATTGTTATTTGAGTTTTTTTTTTTTTTTTTTTTTTTTTTTTTTTTTTTTTTTTATGATTTGGAGGTAAAGGTCTACATATTGAGATAAGCTAAACCCTAAATCCAAGTCTTAGTTATGCTATAATGCTAATAATATTGCTCCCTTCAGCTAATGATATACTTCCTTTTTTTTTTTATTTTTTTTTTTTAATTGCACCATTTTTCTTTTTAGAAAATTGCATATTAATTTCACCCAGTAACGGAGCCAAAATTTTATAAATTAACGTTGGTAGGGCACCACCAACTAATATAAATCAAATAATATAATTCGATATCACATTAAATATTAAAAAAATAAAATAGCCAATTAACATAGACTACCATTACGAAGAAATATCATTATATAAAATAATTATTATCAAACATGGAGCAAAATATGAACCACCGTTACTATTAAAATAAACAAAAGTGAGCACAACATTGACAAGTAATAACATTTCAGTATGAGGGAAAATCTACATTATCATTACGGAGTATCAATTTATATTGTTACAATCAAGGAAGCTCACTCATTACTAGCTAGCATGATTAAAGATTACATAGAGTTAGTATTTAAAAAGGGCAAAATGGACAATCTAATGTAAAACAAAAGGCATAGATAATTTTAATCACAATACTTATCCACACATGCATCTAAAGTACTTTGTATTAACTTGCTAGGATTAAAAATACTAGACCCGCTAGCAAATTACAGTGGTTAATTGTGTGCAAATCTTGTTAGATAAAAAAAAAAATATATCAAAATTAAAAAAAAAAAAAATTAATGCTTAAAAATAAATAAATAAATAAATAAAATAAAATAAAAAAATCCTGGTAGTGGGTACGTGCCCTACCAGGTGCCCTCCCTCCGCCCCTGATTGCACCATTTCTATTTAGGGTATGTTTTTATAATGTTTATTTCATTTAATTAAAGATATTAATCCCTTCGTTCCTGAAAGAAAGTTACGTTTACTGATTCTACACGGTTAATAAGGAAGAAAGATAGTGGAAAAAATGATTAAATATCACATATGTCAAGTAATACGTCATTTTGTTAACTTTTTGAAAATAGGAATATTTGTATTGTGAGTATGTGAATATTTTTGTAAATAGGAATAATAGCATTGAAAGTATATAAATATTTTGATAAATAAGGATAGTTGCATATCCATGTGTATGAGGGAAATGTGCAAAAATAAAAAAATAAAATAAAAAACGTAATCATTAAAGGGGAACGCCAAAAAGGACAAATATAACCCTCTTTCAAAAACCCTACATCATATTATACAAAAGTAGTTTTTCAGAATATCCTCTCTAGTGGCCAAACCAGTTTACAGTTGCTGAAGATACACCACAGCCACAACCTTCTTTGCCAGTTTACAGTTTCTCTCTGGTAACATAGCATAGCCGCCTTGCCTTTCCCTATTGCAGATTTAGCTTTCTGCAAGCAATAAAATTATTTTATATAGCATCATGACAAATGAAATCATAAGAATGTTATTAGATCATTAGATTAAAGTTAAATCAGACAAATGAAACACGTACGACCAAATTCGATCTAGGACTAAGCAATTAATAGTGAGCAAAAATTGGGTAATTTTTTAAATCAGAATTATTGGAATTAGCTAGCTAGTTAGTAACTGGTGATTTCAAAATACTGCGGTTTCATTCCAGTTAAGAAAACTATTTACCAATCGCAATTGAAATATTTTATACACACCCGGGTGTACCGTGCACCTAACTAACAGAAAATTAGTTTTTGCTCATTTGATAATTAAATGAAAAACAATCATCAAAATGAGAGCATAATGCTCATGGATGTATAGTGCACCCGAGTGTATACACTAGTAGAAAAAAATGAAATAGGCACCGCACAATGTGCACCGGTTTATGAAAACCGGTGCTAAAAAAATAGGCGGGATTGGAAAATAGAGTTTTCGCACCGGTTCCAACCAAACCGGTGCAAAATTATCTTTTTCGCACTGGTTTGATTAAAAAAGAAAAAAAAAGGGGAGAAAGAGATTTCGCACTGGTTCACAGGTGCTAATTCCTTAGTTTTATAAAAAAGAAAATCCGGGCTCTTTAATCTTATAAACCCTTAACTCTTTTTCATCCGCATCTATTTTGCTCTCCTTCTCTCTCATCTCTGTTCTCGTTCTTCTCTCTCATCTCATCTCTGATCTCTTTCATCTCTTCTCTGATCTTTTTTCTTCTCTTCCTTCTGATCTCTCGTTCTTCTCTGATCTCTTTGTTCTTCTCTGATCTCTCGTTCTTCTTCCTCTTCTCAACAACCACCTGCCTTAATCGAATTTCGAAACCAAGCACAATAACCATCGCCGCCGCCGTCACCACAACAACCATCGCCGCAGCTGTCAACCACAACAAATTTGATTGAATTTTCGATTAAAAAATCAGAAATTTGAGGTTAGGGTTTCTGGGTTCTTTAGCTTTGCATTTCGGTTTCTGGGTTTTGGATTTTTTCTGCGTTTCTAGGTTTTTTCTCGGTTTTTTCTTGGTTTTTGTGGGTTTTTGTGGGTTTTTTTTGGGTTTTTTATGGGTTCTGGGTTTCTGTGTTCTTTAGCTTTGTGTATCGGTTTTTATGTTCTGGGTTTTTTCTCGATTATTTCTGGGTTTTTTCTGGGTTCTGGGTTTCTAAAATCTGGGTTTTTTTGGGTCTTTTGGGTTTCTGGGTTTTTTCTGGGTTTTTTTTGGTTTTTTCTGGGATCTCCCGTTCTTCTCTCTAATCTCTTCTCTAATCTATCGTTACAATTTTGCAGGTAGTATTCCTTCAAAAAAAAAAAAAAAAATCAACTGCAGCGACTCCTTGATTGAAGAAAGATTCAAGATTCAAAGATTTTGGTGTTTTGTTTTGTTTTGTTTTTTTTTTTTTTTTTTTTTTTTATTATTATTTTATAATTTGTAAAATAACAATTTATTTGATGAATGTGTGTGTGTGTGTGTGTGTGTGTGATTAATGTATATTATGATTTGGGTATTTCTTTTTTTTTAGGGAAACGATTCTGGGTTTCTGGGTTCATTGTCTGATGAATTTTGAGTGGAAAAATTGCAATTTTTATTTTTATTTTTTGAAGGTATAATGGGCACCGGTTAACCGCCGCCAATTGTAATTAAAACCAAAATACAAAAAGCGTGGCACTTACTTTTAGCACCGGTTAACTAGTGCTAATTCTTAGTTTTCCCACCGATTTTGAACCGGTGCGAAAAGTGTTTTTTTTAGCATCCCTCAAATCCGAACCGGTTCAAAACCAGTGCAAAAGGGGGATTTTGAACCGGTGCGGATTTACATTTTTCGCCTAGTGATATAATAATCTCTCAATTGCAATCAATTGGTTTCAATTTCCAACCTTTTGCCATCGAAATATGTGTGGTTCTAATTTCCAACTTTTCTAGAACTGTCTGGGTATCCAACTTATTCAATAAATACTAATGTATGCATTTAAAAGAATATATATGTTCAATATATTTAATTAATTAGTGATGTTTAAGGTAAAAATACCCTAAGACACGTGGCCCAATAAAGGCCTGCCACGTGTCAAGCTTGCAACGGTCAGCAAAGGCCCAATCCCTTTGCGACACGTGTCCTTGTACCCTAATTGAGGTACAGCTCTCCCCTACTATAAATAGTAAGGGCAGACCTCATTAATGGGAATCGAATCATTTTCCCAAAAACCAACAAAACACAAATCCCTTTGCAAAACGCTCTCAAATCGAGAAGCATTTATTGTCTTATTTCCACATTTAGAAAGAGACTAACTTAATCTTCGGAGGCGGAACACCCCAGCCCCAGCCGGAGTTTTCCGTTACTTGTGCAGGTACAGGCGAAGGAAGGAGCATTCTAGGAAATTGTAACTCTCCCGTAGGACACATAAAAAACCCCCAAACAAGTGAAACCCAAAAGGCATACTAATTAATCTTGAACAAAAATTAGGGTATATGTAATTCTTAGGGCTAAGAACAACATTTAATATATATCCTAATTTGGTACTTGTATTAATTTAGGAATGTATGATAAAATCACGCATGAATCAATGTAATTAATGCTATTCATTTTTTTTTTTTTTCAATTTTAGTTCCTTATATGTAGCCTATATAACATTTTCCTAAACATAAATTAGCCTAAAACTGTTAACAAATGCAATTATTAAAGCTTTAAAATGAAATAAACGATTAATTTAAGATACTAGAATTTGTATTTTCTTAACATCATGTAGTATATATAATTATGAAGTATAACTTTGGATACCCGAATTTAGTCCTCGACAGTTCCAAGCCCGGTTTCAAAATTTTAGGAACCGATTCTTTTAACTAGTTCCAAGCCCGGCTTCGAAATTTCAGGAATCGACTCCAATTGTTTTTGGTGATCATCTGGTTCCCAAGAGTACCTGGTTGGCTGGTGTGCTAGCTTACCTCTATCTAGGACAAAGTTCGCCTTAAGAGATGTATTGAGGACTTATAAGATAAGTTGAAGGTTCAATGGGCACTC